TTGACAATTTGAAGGCTGAAGCAAAGAAAGACATGGACAACTTAGCTAAAAGTGAAATCCCAGACTCACCTACCAGAGCATCATCGGGGGATCGTTCCAAAAAGAGCCGGGGCCGATCTAGGGAGAAGAAAAAGGATAAGAAAGACAAGAAGCATCGTGATCGTTCTGGCTCATCCTCTCCCAACCTTCATGGGCCTGGTCGTCGTGGTAAAGGGGCTTTACGTATTGAACGCGGCAATGGTGAGGATAACATACTTGAAGAAAACAAAGCATGTGTTATCGAATCATTCGTTTGTTTTGGTGGCAAGGAATACGTAAACATGTGTTGGAAGTGCGAGTCTTTATTGCACTGTCTCTCAACAGATGTTGGATTGGTTTGTTTAAACTGTTCAGTTTTTGACATTACTTGTACATGTCATGATGTTTGGTAATCATACATCTATCTTTTTGGGTTCCCCTGATCCGGGTTCTCAGCTGTCCTCCACGGTTTCTGCAGGAGAGCGGCGACTCTTGCACCAACCTTCGCGTGGGACGATTCAAGAAGAATGCCAGGTTGTCTGACACCCCCAAGACAACAAACACGTTGGGGCTCTCGTCGGAAGAGGTTTTGTTCAAATTCCTTCGCCCCGAAATGGAGAAACATTTCAAGACCATATCGGATCAGACCCTGTTCGTCAAGATGTGTCACGCTGATGGAGTAGATACTTGCACATAGTCTGAAAAAGTTTTGATGATATGTTCTTGGGGTATGGGATTCCCCCAAACAAAACAGTACCCTGAAATCAAGACCTTTCAGTTCACATGTTTCATGAGTTGTGGGGACCACATCTGAGGAATCCATTGGGGACTTCCTTGATGCAGTTGAACAGAATTGGCAACCAAAGCATGAAGGGCTAGGAGCTGCGGCCAAGGAGGTCTTGGGATGCATGCCATGGTCGGCCAAGCAAGCTTCACTGCAAATGGTTGAATCTGTTGGTGAGCATCTCGATGCTCAACTGAATCTGTAGTCGATTTCTTTACAGCAGTTGTCAATGGTAAAGTACTGCGGAGTAGTATTGGAATAGGCCTCCCAAGACTGCCTTTTCATTGGATAGGCTGGCTAGGTGTTTCAACAAAAAACTTTGGTCTCAGGCTGAATGGAACCAGAAGGCCAATGCTTTGCGGGATGATCGGGGTGGTGGTGGTCGCAGTCTTGATCGTCCATCACCATCGCGCTCCAGGGCTCGATCAGTCGTGGATGATGAGGAGACGAAGGAGGCGGAATGTCGTGACCGCGGGCCATCACCCAAGACAACTGCTTCGGGAAAGGGGTTGCGCAACTTCAAGCCTCTTCCTTCTGAGTCGTCTAGTGAGGACTCATGAGTAAAGCTGAGAAACTACCGAGAAACCACATGATGTGCCAACAAGGCAATGAATGTTTCAGTTTTGTGTCGTGTCCTGCATGCCTCCTGCACGTGATAGAACAGACAACCCTATGAATGCTCAATGCTATTTAAAACCTCATTCTTTAAGGTAGATATGGGTTCATGTGGAATCGAACTCAACCTTTGATGGTTTGACGCGAGTGGACTTGCCAGCCTTTGTGGGATGCGGTCTTGAAACCACTAGAGCTCACTGCAGCTCAGCCAGAGAGCAATTCGAGAAAGGGCAAAAACATGATTCATGGACAATCTCAATGGACTTGATTGTTGGGAACAATGGAAAGTAAATCAAAAACGGATCTGGAAAGTGTGATTAGCCTGTATTTATCTTACATGTTGTTGGATTGATGGGTACTTGAATCAGCGTGACATGATGGTGTTGATTCATACTGGCTCAGATCTTCGATTTGTAGATCCAGGCCCCAAATTTCCACATTTCCTTTGTGACTTCACACTCTGCAGCCTGTCTCATCATCCCGATCTTGTTTTCGCCTATCCATGTCGGAGCCTAGTGACAAGTCAGAGTTCATCATGGGAATCTAGGCTGAATTCAACCATTGATTGATACCATTCAATTTTTGACGTGTTAAGTTTTGGAGTTCTGGTGATTTCCTATTTAAACATGGGGTTGGAACATATCTAGTGGAGGGCTGATGCCTACTTGGATCAACTTGGCCGCCCAGGAGTCAAATGGACACTCGGCCTCGGAGTGCCGGAGGAAGCTTATGAAGTGGATGTGACGTCTGACCTGGGCGACTCAGTGGGATGGCTGAACTTGGAGGATAGAGACGACCCACGTTTGACCCGACTTTTGTTGTGGGTATACCAATCCCACGTGCACAAGGTCACTGGAAATGATGTGCTTTGGAACGAGGAACTCGTTTTTCTTGTCAAGGATTCGCGTTTACAACAGGCTCCCCATTGGGAAGTCGATTTGAAAGTTTTTTCCATTTGGGACCAGTGCGACTGTCAGGTCAAATTCAGACTGGCTCCCAAAGACTCTTGATGAGTTCAATTCAATGTGTTTGCCAAAGATTTTTGTTTATAGCTATGCTCCTACGTTTCAGCCTGGGATGAAATTGGTGCAATATCCGAAAAAAGGAAATTGTCTCTGGGGCAGGGCCTATGAAAAATGGATGGGACTATAACCCCCCCAATAAGAATGGGAAAGTTTTCAAAACCCGGAATCCGGGAAACGTACTCAATCGAGGAAACGCACTCAATCCAAGAAACGTACTCAATCCAAGAATCGTGCTCAATCCAAGAAACGCACTCAATCCAGGAAACGTTCTCAATCCAGGAAACGTTCTCAATCCAGGAAACGTTCTCAATCCAGGAAACGTTCTCAATCCAGGAAACGTTCTCAATCCAGGAAACGTTCTCAATCCAGGAAACGTTCTCAATCCAGGAAACGTTCTCAATCCAGGAAACGTACTCAATCCAGGAAACGTTCTCAATCCAGGAAACGTTCTCAATCCAGGAAACGTTCTCAATCCAGGAAACGTTCTCAATCCAGGAAACGTTCTCAATCCAGGAAACGTTCTTTTAACTTTCGGGGAGCACAGAATGAAGTTGTAAAAAAGTAGAAAGTATGTTGGCCATAACGAATGCGAATGTGAGATTTATGAAGCTAAAACCGTGGAAGGTGTGCAAAAACGACATCGTTCTTTTTGGAACGTACTTTTTACTTTTGCAGAGTTGATGGAGGCGATGTGGAAATGGGATGGGGCTGCTGGGTGGGGAACTCAATCCAGGAAACGTACTCAATCCAGGAAACGTTCTCAATCCAGGAAACGTTCTCAATCCAGGAAACGTTCTCAATCCAGGAAACGTTCTCAATCCAGGAAACATACTCAATCCAGGAAACGTACTCAATCCAGGAAACGTTCTCAATCCAGGAAACGTTCTCAATCCAGGAAACGTTCTCAACCCAGGAAACGTTCTCAATCCAGGAAACGTACTCAATCCAAGAAACGTTCTCAATCCAGGAAACGTACTCAATCCAGGAAACGTTCTCAATCCAAGAAACGTACTCAATCCAAGAAACGTACTCAATCCAAGAAACGTTCTCAATCCAAGAAACGTTCTCAATCCAGGAAACGTTCTCAACCCAGGAAACGTTCTCAATCCAGGAAACGTACTCAGATCCTACATCAGTCTGTGTGGTCAATACATTGCCAACTTACCTTTGTTTGTCCATTTGTGGGGCCATGATTTGTCAAGTACCACCTGAGTAGTAGTCCTGGTAGATAAGCCCTGAACCCTGACATATGTCTTTGCCTCGGCAGCGAACCTTGGATGACTTCGTGAAGGGTGAGGCCAAGCGGCGCAAGCCGGATCTCTCCAGCAGCTCTAGTACAACTTCAAGTGCAGCCTTGGCACTCGAGGATGTGGATGGCCTGGGCACCCACGAACCTCGGCTGTTTGATCGAAATTCTTGTCCAGACTCCCATGACCCCGAGCAGGGTGTGCTTAGCTTTGTCCCCATGATCAAGAAGCGTAAGCGAACCATGACCGAGATCTACCAATTGATCCCTGAAGACCACCGCATTTGGACTGAGGGGTGGACGTGTATGAAAGGGTGTGATTGCTGGTTTTGTGAGATTTATCTCGGAGAAATCATTGTTGTGAAAGATCCTCACGAAACCAGCTCTAGCGATCCCTTGGCTGAATCAGACAGCCAATAATTCATTTTAAGATATGGATATGTGGCAGTAAACTGTCAAAGTAATTCAGCTAATTGCTTCTTTGTTTCGGAGCAGTTTCAATTCATTGACAGATGCAGCAGAGCAAACTAGCAGCAAAAGAACATCTTAGGCCTACTGCATATGGTTTAGGAGGTGTATTCCTATCAATCTACAAGTCAGTGGTTGTATGCGAGAGGTAAGGGAAATAAAGCACAAGATTCATTGCAGAAGTACGATTGGAACCTGATGCACTTGATGAAAGGTGACAATTCCTAGCCGGAACCCTCATGGAAGGACATCAGCATAAACAATCACATACATATACTCTGTGATTTCATCAGCTTTGTTCCAAACACCACAGCCTTGAACATCATTTAGCAAATGCGGTTTGTTTCAAATCAAAGGTCTGGCTCAGTCTTTGCCCAACCTGCCGCTTGGGGTGTCGGCGGCGGTGGCAGAGATGGAGGTAGAACAACTAGCAATAGTTCCTCACTTGGGGGATGAGGATGATACAATGAATGGAGTCATGGAGCCTTTTCCGGCTGGCGACCGTGTCTCAAATTGTGCCAGCCTGTCCCAGGATATGTTGGGTGGAAAATGAAATGTTGAAACGTGACAGTTATGATTCACACAATGTTGGTAGATGATTTTGATTATATATATTCACACTGATCCTTTTTCAACAAAAATCATATGATATTGTTGTCACATCCAGGCACGTCAGCCTGGCTTCGCCAGCCTTCACTGTGTTGTCGAGTCTTGAGTTCTTTCTTTTCACCGGCAGCACTCCAAACTCAAGTAATTGGGAAGCCTTCTCAAGGCTTAGCAGCTGGGAAATCTAGTTTGATTTGCCAAGCCGTTCTAAATTCAACTCTGTGTCCCACCCTACCCTTCACGGGCGGGCGGGCTCGGGTGCATTGCTGCGGGTGTGTCTGGCAGCCTAGCATCACAGGCAACATGCAAAAGACGAAGAAACAAATCCCCCAACACCTTTACGCGGTCACGATTTTTTTGGGGAAATCGGATCCAAATCTCAGATGCACCTAATTCCTGTACATACGTTTCTAACATCTTGTACGATTTCCATCTACCTCTCCACTGTACTCTGGTCAAGTCTTCATTAAACTTCCTAAAGAGAAAGGTAGCCCCCCCCGGTCTCAGGGAAGAAGGTTGGAACACACAACACTGAAGGACTTCCTGCTGCACCAACTCAAGGCGAGTCTTGAAGGAGCTGACAGAACCACACCAAAGTTTTCTCCACATCGGCATTGAGCCCAGGATCAGCTGTACCCAAGCAGCAACGCCTGTTTCGTCGATGCGCACGTGCTGCGCCATTGCAGCACGAAAGCGCGTCTTCGGCTGGCCTATTCGAACGTACAAGACTTGCGGTTCCCAGTGGTCCTGTGGAAGTGACAGGTCTCGTCGTCGCAAGCCAACAAGCTCTGAGGGTCTCAGTAAGCCAAAATAGCCTATGACCAGCAGGGCCGCAAAATGCGGCCAATTCCAGGCCAGAGCAGTACTTGCAAGCGCAAGAACGACTTGCAAAGGCATTGGTGGGTGGTGTGTCACTGGCTCCAACATATCCCACGTCTTCAGCACATTCCACGGCGCAGCAAGAGAGGATCGAAGCCAGCCAAATTGTTGGACCACCGCATTGAGACTCTCCGCCGCGGAGCGACGGCTTGCCCCCTCCAGATACAAGGTGACCATATATTCTTCGAGCCACTCTGACAAAACATCTATGTGGTGCCGTGCCAAGAGCTCCAGAGAAGTGTCCGGAAGCTGTTCGGCCAACCACGTTTCCAGTTTGTTGAGCAGCCCTTGTCGAATGCTTCGAGTCCGCTCGGTGATCCTGCCTCTTTCGATCAATGAGCGATCTCGAAGGTGAACTGCTGGGGGCCGCGGCGCTGCCACTAGCGGACAAAAGCAACACGCCAACAAACAGATACCAACGATTAAGGGCCCTAGAGAGCCCCTGCAGGCCATCCAACTTGCTGGCAGCCTGACGGCTGCCCTGGCGCAGTGCCCAAAACCACTTAGGCAAAGGGGTGCGAGCGCCCAGCACCTTGCGGCCCCTGCTTGGGCCATCAGCTCTCAAAGACCAAGTTGGGAAGTGAATGCTGGCCACATGCAAATTTTTGCCTAGCAAAAAAGGGGCTTCAGATCGCATGAGTCTGTTTAAGGCAGCAGAGGGACTTCGACCCTTTCCTAAGGAACCAATATTAACACGACTATCTTGGGCCACCACAAGTCTTTTATCCCTTCCAATTCTTTTAAACAACGTCCTACGGGCTTTGGTTTCCTGTAAATTAATATGTTCTTTTTGGCGAAACTCATACTGCACCCATGGTTTCCAAGTCAGCCCTTCCGACAACTGCACGGCCCACAGAGCCGAACCCCCCTTAGGACGGCGTCTGCCGCTGTCCCCAAAAGGTTTCAAACAAAAATCCGCATCTTGGACTAACGAGCTTTGATCCAAGAAGGGGGCGTTGTAGGGAATGTCACCGACACCATCCTCCCAGAATGGTTGGGCGTGAGAATGCTCCCAAGCTTTCCAGAGGCTAGCAACCCGATCGCAAAAATATTCGGAATAAGCCGCAGCATTCGTAGTATCCCCTCCATTAAGCACCAGGTGTTTCCTCTGGTTATGATGACAGCATCTTCGGCCTAATTTCTTAAGAGGCACAAAATTCGAAATCAAACAAGTTGTTTTTCTGAAGTTTCGACCAAAACGACACCAATCAAACAAGACTTCGAAAACATTTTCCCGACGAGACAACACGCGCCATGCCCCCAAAGCCCTGATAAGACTGGTAGCAGCCACCTCACCTGCCATGAAGAGCCCAAGCGTAACCTGAACCAACGCCAACAGGGCGCACTGACAAGCGTGCAGATTACCTTTCACCACACAATCCGCAAGCACATCCAAACCCCAAGGCGCCTCCGCAGACCTCACCCTCGCAGCCTGCGACGAGGAAAACGTAGCACCAGGAGGGGCCCACCACAGAAACCGGACCTTTCCAGCCCTGACAAAAGACAAGAGGCCAAAAAACAACTCAGGGTCAAGGAGGTCCCAACCTTGTTTCACCTCGAGCGGCGGCAAGACCTTGAAACCTTTAGCCTTCCACGCATGAGACATTTGCGCACCTCCAGCATAAACTTCCAACAAGTCAAAAGGAAACTCAAACAACGCCAAAGACGGATCAGCCAACATCACGCGATGTTCAAAAACAACTTCCAAACTCCCATGCATTTGCCCCACACTAGCAGACCCCCTGCCTTCATCACCCGTAGACTCCTCCTCACTCAAAACCGCCTCCTCATCCCAGCCACTGCCCTTCAAACTCGACTGCAGCCTGGACAGCAAAGGCATTCGATAACCCACCTTGTCACCACGACGCCACAACTCCCCAGACACTTCAACCCCGACTTCAGCCCGACACACCCCCGCACCAGACGGAGAGGCATCAACACAATAAAGAAAAGAATCAGGAAGAGCCCTGGCATCGCACACGCAGAGCGGGGCGCAACTAGCCAGCACCATCAATTCGTTCCGGGCCCCCTGGGTCAGTTTAAACAAATCCTCGGGTCCCCCGGGAGAAAGTTGGTGATAGATATCATACATGAAAGCAAAAAGGGGTCGGCGAAATTGGAGATTAAAAGCCCATAACCCCGTTATAGCTTCAACCAGTTTCTGGTCAACTGGGCCACTTTTTGCCATTGAAACCGACAACTGTGCAAGTCGTAGGAGCTTACAGCGGGAAGGGCCGATGAGGCCGGCCTTACCTTCTATTTCCGCTCCCCAAACTTTTTGTGTGCAAAGACCTTCGGACTTTCTTACCTTCATGGGTCCTCAAGTCAACTGAATTATAGGCAGCTGTAGCTGCTTCAAATACCTGCTGATCGCGACCCTCTTGGGCCAGTGTGGTGACTTCATCACCTTTCCAAGGCAACAATTGTACCCCCAAGTGATCGTCAATCATTATGCCCTCATAGTAACCGCTTTCAGGTTTTGGGAGGGGGTGTCTGTAATTCAAGGTTTCTTCTGGGAGAAAGGTGCCCCAACTACGCAACAAATTAACATGACTTTCTTGAGCTATGTCAACCGCGGCATGGTCACCCATTCCTAAACCCTTGAAACAACACACCAATCTGTCACCAGTTGTGATCCGGTTCGCTGCCAGTGCTGCTTGCGCAGCTTTCAAATGTGCCACCTCACCCCACCGAAAACTAGGCCCTACAGGACTACTCCGGGCTCTTTTCTCAGTTGCCACATAAGCATGATAAAAATCTCGGATATCATCAACAGAACAAGCACACACCAAATCACGACCTAAGGGCAACTGAGTCAAAAGCACAGCATGGGGAAGATTTCGGGATTCACCTACCACATGATACTCGCGTCTGTTTCGGCGTTTGCGGTGCAAAATTTGACGGTCCCTATCGACATCTTTAGCGACAGCAAACAACTCACAACGATCCAAAAAATTCACCTCATCAGTTTTGCAAACAAAAAGTCTTTCCAATTGATCCCAACGGGCAAACACCTTCAACAGTTCAGTTCGAGACGCGGTACCCTTTATATGTATTGGGGGAGGCATATCTTCCGGGGTCTTTAACAAGGTATCAGGGTCTTCAAAAATAGTGCGACATTTCTCACTCAAGTACGGCCTTGGGTCAAAATTCTCAACTTTGTCAGGCAAACTCAAACGATCTGCGACCACCGGAAGCGCTTTGGTAGCTGCAAAAGCAGCTCCCTGAGAGCTTTCACCAAACTGTCTTTTGTGACGGGCATATGGCAAACTGTCTAAAGCATCTAATTCAGACCTCAACTCACTCAAATGAGTTCCAACTGCTGGTAGCCGGAGGCCGCATCCAGACTCAGAAGTGCCCAGGCGGACCATCGACCTGCTCAGCTTCAAAAGGAAATGAACCATCTCCTCTTGTGCCTGGTTGAGTTTACACTCACGCCTCCCCCGCTCAGGAGCTACTTGCACTCCCAGGGCCTGATGGCTCAAAGCACACACCATCAGGTTCGTCCACAATTCAATGGACCTCCGAAAGCGGAACCTAGCAGCTCTTCGGCGAGAACGTCCTTGAAGAGGACCTTTATCACAACTCCAAGGGAAAGGAGGCGGGCACGGAAAGAGCTCCTTGTCCGAAGCTCGTGGCGGTGGAGTAGCTGCTGGAGTAAAAGTACTCCGCACATAACGCGAAAAAGGCAGTGATGAATCTGTCATTGAATCAATCACATGTTCCAACCATGCTGCAACGGATGCACCCTGGTCAGATGAAAAAGAAAAGCTTTCTCCGGAATGCTCTTGCATGAAATCTTCACGCTTTACTCTGGCTTCTTCTCGTCCTTGGCTTTGCCATCTCCTTTTCCTCCTCCTTTTCCTCTTTTCTTTAGCAACCACTCTTCCTCCTTCAGCTCGTTGATGATGGCTCCAATCCATGTCGCGTCCATCAACCGCGTGTAGATGTATTGTTTTCGGATGGAAGCGAGGTCCTGACTGGCCCAATGGGACCATGGAGGCTCCTCTACGCCTGTCAGGCGACTTGCCACCCCCCAAGACTCGTCCAGCAGGAATTGTTCCATTGCAGATATCATTCTGACACAGTGAAGACGGGCATGTCTCTGCTTCCCTTCCAGCATCAATTTGTGAATGGTAGCAAAGCCGCTCAGTGCATACCCTGCTGTCCGCGAGCGGCCTACAGGCACTGAACGAATGAACTTCTCGGGGATCAACGGGCCCATTTCTTCGGCCCCCACCGCCCGCTGCATGCGAGCTTCCATCCTTTCCAAGTAGGCGCCCGGGTTTTGCTTCATGGCATACCGGAGCTTTTCCACTGCCTCGATGGCTTTTCCTCCGCGACTGGTAGAAGACCAGGTTTCTCCCTCCTCCTCGGAAGAGCTGCCGTTCGTGCCCACCAGGCCCGGAAGTTTCTTGTTCTTCCTGCTGCCTTTTGCTTGCATTTCCTTCATGAGCTTCAGCATGCTGATTTTCATCATGTCGTCGACTGACGGGCCCGAAGAAGACTGGGCCATGTCTGGAACGACCAGGTTGATGCAATCTTGAGCCGTAATCCGAGAGGCTGGCTCGTCTGCAATTCTCTCTGGCCGAGAGCCCACCTCTTCTCGCATGGCTCGCAGAATTTCGGCCATGTCCTTGTCGTTGGGACCGTCGATTTGCGGAGGCGCGGCTTGTGTCTTGGCGGTCGCTTTCCTTTGAGGAGCTGGTGTCTTCACAGTCTGCAGATTTGGGTGCTTTTGAAGCTCCTCCACGCGCTTCTCCAGCTTTGCTAGGACAGCCACCACAGCCTTCAGGTCGGCTTGGGGTGCCGGATTCTCCTCCTCTTCCAAAGCTGTTTGCCAGTCCGCATCTCGGAGGGATCCACTTGTGACCCATTCGTCTACTGCATCGTCCAACTCCGCCATGTCCGGGAGCTGCTGGGCCTCTGCAAAACGCAGGTACGGCCTTCGAGTCCGAGGAGCTTTCCTTTCCAGCTGTTGTCGGATGCCCATTGTGAACTCCAACAACAGCACCTCCACTGCATCCCCTAGGCTCTCTTCTGCTTGGAGAGAAATGGTGACATGAAGGCTGGGTCCCAAAATGTCTTCGGGAGAAGCCTCTTGGCCTTGGCTCAAATCCTCGTCGGGAATTCCGTTCCCCGGTACTGCTAGAATCAAGCCACCCCGACTGACCCGACAAGGCAAAGCTAGCATCCAAACATCCCCCTCCGCAGGCCAGCGAAGAAGCAAGAGGTCGACCTCCTCCAAGTTTTTGTTCACCAACTTGAGGCTCCGGATGGTTTTCTCTGCAATGGGCATGATCTTCAAGCAAAGGTTTTGGCTGGTGGCCCTCAAGCGCTGCCACAATCAAGCGCTCTAAGCCCAGCCTCGACCTTGTCAATGCAGGGCAGCTACTGCAGGCCTGCGGCGACAAAGGTACAGCGCGCAGTGAGGTAAGAAAAGGTGGCGTAGACGCGGTTGAATGAAGGAAAATGTTCTCTGAGAGCGTGGTGCAAGGGTCGCAAAGGGGCTCAGCAATCAAAATGTAAGCAAGGCCAAAAAGCAAACACAGCAAGCTCTTCAAACAACTACTTTCCCTCGGTCTTTGACACCCACACACAGGTGCACGCGTCCGTGCAAACTTGGGCTCTAGCAAAGTGGCCGTGGTGTGGAAATTCAATCCTACTTGCACAGCTTTCTCAGGCACGGTAACGTTGCAATCTATCCTGCCCCGCCAGACCGCCCTCTCTTGGACGAATCTCAGCACCTTCCAGCAGAAAAATTACCAATCGTGACCCTAGCAGCCGCAAGCGGGGGCTCAGAAGGAATCCAATCACGCAACCACCAAAGCAGAATCCCAAACAAAAGCAAGTGATAGCTAAAAGAATCAGCTCGGCCAATCGATATGGGTGATCACACAAGCCGAGCACCGGGCTAACCGCACTCAAAATATCCCTGAGCATCCAAACAGAAAGCTACAGACAACACATGTTGACTGCCCTTCCATGAAAACAATGCCTTTCATGTTTTGTTATGGTAAAATTAGTGGTCAACACTGTTTTGGGATCCCAGTGACAAACAATCTGAGCCCGTGTACTTGATGCGCTATTTCAATGCCAGTCCTGCCAGGATGCTTGGACGAAGGAAGTGCAGCTACTCCTTCGCGACATGCCTGAAGTCCTTGACGACTCTCCTCATCAAGAAGCTGCTCGAGAGGAGGCGATCATGCTCTTGAGGAATGTGATTGCGTTGCGGTGGGGCTACATCATAGGATTGAAAGACAAAGTCCCTGGTTCCCATTTCAAGTCTTTGGTGGGCGGAATGGTGTCGACTCTGAATACGCTACTTGAGGTTCATGGGCCTCACATTCCCTTTTGCCCGAATCCACCTGACAAACAGCTTGAATTGGAGAATGAGAATGCCAGCCCAGAGAAACCCCTGCCCCCACCTGATGAAGGCAGCAGTACCACAGCCAGCAGCAAATCCGCACCTCCGAGTGTACTGCCACACGACTTCAAGTTCCTTACAGTGCATGTGGACGGCAAGAGTGAAGTTTGGACATGTCTGCAGGCAGGGGTAATTACCGTCCCTCATAATGTGGGCTGATATCCATCAAATTTCATGGGGAATACGGAATACAAATATAATTGGGAAAAGCTTCGTTTACTTAGCTGCACCGAATCAGAATAGAACTGATCAAATATTATTGGGAAAAGCTTCGTTTACTTAGCGGCCCCGAATGAGAATAGAAATGATTACCATGAATGAAGCAACCATTGGTTGAACCCACAGATTGATAAATATATTGATACGCCTTTCCTGTTCTGGTTTGGCCCTAAAGTGCGCCACAGGTGCCATCAGTGTGGGGAGTTGATGGGTATGTGAACTTCTACGGGATGAGCGAAGTTTGGATGTACAAGACCAAATTTTTCGCGTGGTACACCAAGTCTTTCAACGAGTTCTACTTGCCGACAGCCGCGTTTCTGGAAATGTCCCCTGGTCATGTATCTGGATATCTGATTAACAATCGATTTTGGAGGTAGGATTTGTCATAAAGAATTCCTTCGTGCAGATGCTCCTGATGTCTCCCATTATTGAGTTGGTGGACTAACTCAGGGACCCATAACTAAAATCCACCGAATGATTTATCCAATGACTTAGCTCAAAATTAGAATTCCTAAGGTCATGAGACGAAGCACTTACAGAGGAGATGACAAGCCGACCCACTATCTCCCGGTGGATGCGGCTTCTGTCATGGGTATTGTGTGTGTGGTGGGCAGCATACTGCCAGCAAAATCTCTGGCTCGCGAAGCTATGCTGATCTCAGTCACGACTCTCAAGAAGATGGAATCATGCGTGGAAAACCCAGAGAGAGAGTTGGTTGCTCCCCTGCGAAACGGGGATAAGCTCAGGTTGGAGACTAGGTCCACTGGCTTGTTTGCTTTGTCCGACCTCAAACACTTTTTCAAGAAGCTGGGAATCGACTTTACCAGGTTCGGGATGTTTAGGTTGTTTGGATTTAGTGGAACAAACAACTGATGTTAAGAACATATACTGTTGTTGGGGATACCCAAAGGATATAAAGTCAATGACGTCAGACACTTTGAACATAGGGTTCCAATCTCTCCTTTCATTCCCCATCTAGGTTCAGCAAAAAATTGCCATCAGATGCTGCGGAAGTTGGCATCCCCGAGATTATCTGCACCATGTTTCGAATGAGGTGTGATCCTTCGAGCCAAGATCCGAATTCACCCATGAACCGCTTTCTGTTCAGACTAGTTCACAAATGGTGTCAGAAAGTTGAAGCATCAATGGAACAGAAACTGCAGGAGACCTGTCCAGATCCCAGCGTTGGGGCACGAGTTCATCTCTTTTTGAAAAGCTCACGGATGAAAGGCAACAAAGCTCTCCAGCTCAGCATTGTCGGCCGCTTCTCAGCAAGGAGTGCAGGATTTATGACTACCAAGAACACGACCTTAGCTTCGCTGGGTGTCCTTCCGGCCAACAGCAGTCTTGCCCAACGAACGTGCCAGGAGTATGCCATGCGGTACTTGATCAAGTCAAACCAGCACATGAGTGAAGCCCTGTTGCAATCGAAAGTGGTAAACTTCACCTTTGACGCGGCATTCGTTGCTGAAGAACACGCGGCTTCTTCTTAGCTTATAGTGGGTATTTGTTTTGTGTGCGAACAAGTTGTGCCTGGGGAACATAGGAAATGCCTCTCAATCCTAGTAAGGCTTGTAAACTCTGTCAGGTGCTCACCGTTGTCTTTCGGTCCATTGGTAAGCAGTTCTCGGGAGCCACCCAGTTGCTGCCGACTGGTCTCAGTGCTGAGCAGTCACAGAAAGCCTTACAGGCCTTCTGCCAAGCATTCAAGACAATGTACTGCCAGTCTGGTCAGGTGCCGTCCATCCCACAGAAAATTGACTTTGGGTGGAAGGAATTTCGAGTGCCCACGAAAAACATGCTCATGGGCATTAGCAATGCGCTGGTGCAAATCATGCCACCTGATTTCACTTTGCAAAAGTGCATTCCTCCGGTCCGTTTGGTGCCTCGAGCTACTCAAGCTGACCGGCTTCTCTTGACTGATGACGAGAAGACAATGCTTGGACTGGGACCTTGGGCCAAAGACTGTGACCTCTACTTTGTCTACAACTACGCCTCACAGACGTGCTTTGTGGACTTTATCGAGGACAACGACTTCTACAAGCTGTGCTTTTCAGCGGATGAAGGGACTGAGGACAGGGTTGGGTCATAAAACATGTTGCCACTGGTCTTCTCAGGATGGCAGAAAACACATAACAAGGGGTCCTCATTCATAAAAAAATGAAGTTAGTAATCAGTGAGGGTTTAAATGTAGAGAAGCATGTTCTCACGACTGGACCTTCCCTCCAATGTTTTAGGACATATAACTAACTTTGTAAATACATGTTACGTATGAAGATACATTGCCCACATGTCATATGTGCACTATACACAAATATAATATAATAGTAATGCATTTGTGTATCTACATGATCTAGCAAACAGGTTTCACATGATATGCATGCGCTGCAGGGCTTCCTGGTGTTCCTGCACATGAGTTGCTGCGGGGTCTACGCGACCTTTTGGCCGGACTTACTGCACAAGCTTGCGAGGAGATGCTGCTACGCCATGCAGCGAAGCAAGGCTCATTTGACACTTCGGAGGATCAACAAACTCTTTCGGTTGGACAGAGGACCATGGAGCACCTCGAAGTTCGGAAAACAGTTGAGTGATGCCCGCAAGATGCTGATTGATGGTCTTCAATCCTCTTCGCTTGATGAGTCGGTGATTGAAAGTTTCCTCCCTGGCATAGCCAGAGACTACAACTTGTCCGCAGACGGCTTCACAACTGTGGATTTTCTGCGAGTCCTACAAGCCAAGAGAGGACCAAATATAGGAAATTGATAACGACAGAGACCACTGGCTGATAACTGCGTGGTAGAAGTGTCACTAACATTTTGGTTCCCCAAAAATTATGGTTCAACTTCCATTTGTTGATAAGATCGTGTCCATATATTTTCCCAACCAAAAGTCTAAGTCAACTCATAGACAAAGTTTTTGGGTCACCGTGGGGTATGATTACAGCGCACGCACTGAAACACCAGTCCCTGAAGGAAACCACGTGTTTTCCACAGAGCACAAGGATACCCGTTGGTTCTCGTGGTGGGACCACGCTGCCAAACATGACTCTTCTTGGCATACCCAGGCTCTGACTCATATGATGTTGTGGGTGGCAGAAGGCGAGAACCCTTGGTCGAAGCTGACACCTCAGGTGGAAGGCGATAGCAAGAACCCGACCTCTTTTTCATCCCGGCAATTTGCCTGGAACGTGGCTCGTTGACAACACAGAGCAACAGGGTTGATTTGGGATCAGGCGTTTCAATGCCCAAAAATCGACCTCGTACTTCACCAAGAACATCGTACAATTGGACCACAATTTCTTTGATTCTTTTGGCGATGATAGTATGTTCTTGCTTCAGGGTTCTATCACCCCCATGTTTCTACTTAGCTACCTCGCATGTCATAGATATGCAAGTCTAAACCTCAAATCTACATGTATTGCTTTGTTCCATGGCAATCTACCTGTTTCTTCCATGTCACTGCCCAGGTCTTGAGTGACGACACGAACCAAGATGAAATGAGGTCAATGCTGACTGTCTTCAAAAGCATGAGGATCTATGCAGCAGAGTACGAACCTTGAATTTATCAAGAGATACCTCCGAAATTTGTTTCCTACAAATGGTGTTTGTACTCGGTTTGTGTTTTGGAAATAGTAGAAAGGTTGTTGCCTGAAA